GGATTCAAGTTGAGGAAGTTCTTCTCACCTGAGTTTTACTTAGATATACTAATTAAATAGATATAGAGTAGAAACTAGCTTGTTTAGTAGTATATAATTTTTACAAACCTTTTACAGATATATAATAGTGATATTAGGATAGCAATTTTGTTTTATTTTTTTGTTACTCTATATACCTCTCTTTTTTTCTTGTTTGTATCTTTTATCACACTTTCTTATACCTCTGTTTTCTTTTTCTTTTTGTTGGTATTTCTTTTTTTGTTTTTTTGCTTCTTGATAAGCCTATAGTAGCTAGCTGAGGACTAATAAAAAAAAAGTTTCCTGCAAGTGGAAGACCTAGAAGAAGACCAATTGCTACTGAAGCAGGCTATATTAGCATCTATAACTTGATTATAGTGTTGGTGAGCCTATATTTTGGTTAAATGATATAAATTAAAATATAAAAATGTAATGATTTTATTAAAATCCTTAGTCTCAAATAAAATAGAACAGGCTGCCAAATTACAAAAAAAAAAATATTGTAGCAGATTGAATATAACTTATATTTAATTTATTATAATACCTATGCATCATAATTTTTGTATTTATTTTGTAACTTATTTTAAATATCAAGAGCTTTAAATTTGCTTATATTTAAAAATTTAGGTTAAAAAAATATTTTAAATTTTATTGTTTTTTTAATAAACAACTTTTAATAAAACTTCTAATATTAATAATTATAATTTTAATAGATTTATTTAGAATCCTGGTATACTTGTTGATAATATTTTTATTTTAAGAGTTATATAATTTAGCACATGTACATTGTAACGTACCCTAATTAACCAATTAAAATATACGATCAAGTGTAATATTACATGATCAAGAAAATTCAAAACAAGCGTTCATTTTGCCAAAAATCGCTTATAACTCAAAATTTCGCATATGCAACTATCTTTTGGGTCCTAACAAAAAAAAAGTTTTGCAAGATTTTACTATAAGCCTATTTTTTATATCTATCTTAACCTTAATTAACGCTAACCCCAATCATATAAAAAACTATTGTTTTGATTTTATATTATATCTGATTTTATAGGATATGTTACAATGCACCTGCATAAAATGATTAAATTCATATTTTAATATACAATATATATACAATAAATACTATCTTAAAAAAATTTAATAATAAATACTTTATTTTTATTCTATTTTATAATAAATAAATGTCTTATATTTTTTCTTTCAGCCCCAATTTTAATCAATATTTAATTGATATTAATACAAGATAAATATATCTAAAATATGAGTTTAATGTATTAAAAAATAAAAAAAAATTATATAATAATATTAGGATTTATCTATATATCGCACCAGTATAATACTCTTATTTATCATCCAACCAATCAAATTTCAGGATTAGGTATAATATAAAAAATACAAAAAACTGTAATTTTTTGAAAAATTGCCAATATCTCAAAATTTTGCATAGAAAACAGTCCTTCATGTTCTAACAAAAAAATTTTCTTGCAAAATTTTGAAATAAACTATACCTTATTCTAACCCAAAACTAAACTTGCTCTAACTTTAATTAAAACAAAGTAAATCATTTTATTTTTTTATTGTTTTGATCTCACGTTGCATCTGTTCTTAGCAATATATAATTGTATTACATAGTGCAATATATACATTTTTTCATAATATTAAAAAAAAATTTCTAATATATTAGTTATCTATTGTAGCAATCTTATTTAAAATTATATTTGGTATATAGCAATATGATCAATATTTTTTTATAGTATATTCTGCAGTCTTTTCTATTAAGCCTTTGTGATATATATTTATATATCTAAAGATCTTTTGAGCATATTTTCTGATTTCAATAAGAGATATTAAATCTAGAGCTTGTAGTATAGTTCTCTTCAAACCTTTTTATATATAATCATAGTGATTTTATATATATTGTTTTGCTAATCTTCAGAAATTTTTTATGTAATTTAGCTTACAATAAAATTTTAGATAAAAAAAATATAAGAACTTGCAAAAATATTTGTTTTTTCAAGTTTTTTATATTATGCACTAAACCTGGTTAATTTGCTATTATAGTTCTAGTACAACTAGGGATATTAACAGAGTGCTTCAGGGTGGTGTAGTGCATACTCTGGCAGAGCATCTCTTAACACCATGCCACGCTAAATAACCCAGAGTATAACCTGGAGTACTGTGTACTAAGCACTAAGTAATACTCCAGAGTTCATAATAAGGCTTCTGTATGATTGGTTGATGTAAATCAATTACCTGGACTGATTTTTTATTTAAAGCTGTTATTATCCTGAGACATCTTTTGAAAAAATTAATCAAATAAATATTTTGCTGATTTTTATATAATCTAGGATAACATTTATTATTTATGAAGATAGTCTAAATTAGAAAATAATAAATGTTACTCTAGATCATATCTTTTTTTTTTTTTTTCCACTTTGGCCATCTCACTGGTATTCTTTATTAAGTTCCTAATTATCAGGTAAGACAAAAGGGTACAAAGGCTATCTAATAATTTGAATCCAATACCTTGCAGTTACTTCAAGAGTATTTACAAATGATCAGCCGCACTGAGCAGATATATCCATATGAATTTATCATGATAAGTTTTATTATAGAAACTCTATCTCTCTCAGAAGGCATAGTCAGATCACTACCCTACAATAGGATATCACCAAACTGATGATATCTTCTCGTAAGGAAGTGGAAAAAACAAAAAAAAATATTAACACTAATACTAATATTAAAAGGAGAAAATAAAAAAAAAACTAATACTAATACTAAAAACAAAAACATAGACGAAAGGTGAGAAAAAAGAAAGAAAAATCTGACTGGTCACAATTATAAGCCTGTGTCGGGCTTTGAAAAAATTACAATTTACAAAATAAAGATGCTCTGTATCTAATCCCTATTCTAAAGATATGTATATAAAAAAAAAACTATGCTAATACGTATAAAAAAACAAAGCTAAACTAGTGTACCAAACTAGACAGAGTAGCCAAAATCGCACCAGTAGTCTCAGAGTATTGTTAATGGATCAACGGCATTCAAGTCATGTCACCCTCACGTGTTGTCTCAGATTTGCTCTTATTCATCTTTTAAGTCACATGCGATCAAATTCTTTCGCATGACATGCTTCTTCAGACAAATCTGGTCGCATGAGTTACCGGGACCACCCAAAAGAGTAATCACTTCTAACAGAACCACCCATTTTGGATAAACAACAATACTGGCTGTTTTGGAAATTTACGTATCGATCTTTTGGAGGGTAAGCTAAGATGCCCACTTTTTTGACAAAATTTACTCGAAAAAAGTGGTAGGACAACGGAAGTATGTGAGATTCTTCTGTAAGTTTTACAGTTGTATAGTCAATTCTTCAAGATAATACTATCTCAGCGAGAGCTTATGCACTATCTGCTTCTAGAATAATCCTTCTAGTTTGGGTGCCAAATATCTTGGGGAGTCTACGAAGCCAAAAGAGTTTGATCCCAAGAAAACCACTTAAGTTACGCCTGCTTCTCGGTGTTTCATATCTTACAAGCTTCGTCAGCAGCAATCTGTTCAAAAGTAAGTTCAGTTTCCAGAAAACTCTTCTGGTTTGGATGCCAAATATCTTGAGAAGTCTGTTGATACAAAAAAGCTTGACCCCAAGAAAAACCATCCAAATACGCCTGCTTCTCAGTATTTCATGTCTTTAAACTTTGTTGACAACTGTTTACTCAAAGACAGAACTGAAATAGTATTTATCTTAGAACTTCTTATAGCATTTTTCTGTAGTTCAGTTTTTTGTTGTATTGTCCAGAGGATCGTCAGAAAGAGTATTGTTACTTTAGATCATATTGAAATTAAATCAGCAGAATATTTATTTGGTTAATTTTTTCATAAGACATTCCAGGAATAATGGTAACAGCTGTAATGAATATTATAGGCCAAAATTTGTCTAATTGGCTAGTACAAATCAATTGCCCAGAGAACTTATTTATACTTTTTGAGAATAAAAAATTCTGGATTATTGCTATTTTTAAATGAATATAGTCAGATTAAAATTGTAAGTATCAAATTTACTATAAGCTTTATGCATATTTAAGTAATGCTCAAAAAAACCTAGTTGAACTGAATAAAATATATACGTATATATACATATCAATATTAGATACATACATGCGCCAAGAGATAAATACATGCTAAAACCAGTTTGGCACAGCTTTTTATGTTTGAATTTAGTTTATATTAAATCATGTCAGTAGTATCAATCTGGAAGTACTGTTAATTACAATGAGATAGTGAACTGGTCAAATGTATATTTATATGTTTTTGCAATTTAGATAGCTTGTACTAAAGGGATTAGTAAACGATAGCTTGAGCAAGTCATACTTGTACTAAAAGGGCTAGTAAATGATAGCTTGTATGAGTTATGCTTGTACTAAAGAGGCAAAATAAATGATAGCTATGCTTGTGCTAAAGGGGCTAGTAAATGATAGCTTGAAAGAAACCAAAAATAAAATAATTTGAGTTTGATATAATCATCATAATAAATAAAACAATCTGAGTTTATTTAATATATAGGGATGCCTATAGCAAAAGCAGGAGATAGGACTATATATTATATAGTCTCATCCTCTGCTTTTGCTATAGGTATTTTTATATATGTATACGCAATAAATAAATTCATGTAACAAAAAATATATAATACTTCGGAGTATAATCTATTTTATATAATAGTATTACTCCAAAGTATTTTACATCTATTACTAGTAACTTAATAACCCGAGATAGTGTCATGCCAAAACTACACCAGTATGAAGTGGATTATACTTCAGGATTACTCTAAGTATATTACTCTATTAATATCCCTAAATACAACAATTAGTTTTTCTTGTTTACATCTATCCTTATATACTAATCTTATTCTATTACACTACAATTCTCTTTCATTTAAAACTTCTTTTAGACTTTTTGGTTTACTGCATAGATTAGAGTCATTATAATCTTTCAAAAAACACATATCTTTTTAAATTTTATCTCTATATATAGTGCTTTTAGATATTTGAGAAGATTAAATATCAATATACTTATTGTATTAATTTCAAATATATAAAATAAAGTATAAACCTTATGGATAGTGTTTAGCAAAAGAGATAGAAAAGCAGAGATAGGTAAAGTAATCCACAAACACGATCATAAAGGTCTCAAAATTGAATATTGGTGCAAGCAAGACTATCTAGAAGAGGAGAAAGCAGCTATAAAATCTTGTGAAGGATACAAAGAGAATAGAATAACAGCTAAGAATGAAACATGTATTATTAAGAAGCAATTTAAAGAAACAAAAAGGGTAGTAGACAAGCATCTAGTAAGAAGGATCAAAGCTAACAGAAGAACAAGAGCTAAAACAACAGTACCATAGGAAAATATAGTTGGCAAGACCGAGAGGATAGCACAAAAAGAATGTGAAACAAGAATCAACTAACAAAGAATAGCAATCAATATAAGACCTTTAGCTAAAGAAACTATCTACAGGTATATAAAAGGAGAAGCAATCATCGAAGAGCTCAAAAATATAGCAAGAAAGATCACAAGAGTCAAGAAATTTGTAGCCTATACAGATGGATTGCTAACAGAACTAAGAGAGAATTCTGAAAAAACATGAATAGAAATAGGATGAATATTAACAATAGGGGCAGAAGAAAGAAACAAGACAAAAGTACGATTCAAATATGCTATAATAGAGTGGCTATCTGCAACAAAAGCTGAACTTGGTGTGATTTTAACAGTTCTATTAGTGGTTTCAGAAAAAGCAGATCTGCAGATAAACACAGACAGCCAAGCAGCAATTCAAGTGATCAAAAGTGTAGAGGAAATGAACAAGATGAGAAGCTACCTTATAACAAAGAATAAAAGCTTAATATGGCAAATCAAAAGAGTAAGAAGAATCAAAAAAATCAGACTAAAGATATACAAGGTAAAAGGCCATAGCGGAGTTGAAGAAAACAAAGAAGCAGATAGACTTGCAAGAGAAGGTACTATGTCAACAAGCTCATAAAAGTTCAAGTCCCTGGAACGAACATATGCAAGTAGTATCAAGCTAGAACGAATTGTTGATCGACAGCCCAATATGAAATTTTGTAAATCAAGTTATACATCAATACTAGATACAGAATAGGCAAGTCTAAAGAGAATAAAAACCTGGGTAGAAAAGAAGGAAGAGGAGAAAATAAACTAGAGAGAAACATAGAGATAAAAGAAGTGAAGGATAACAATTGCTTAGATAGTAAAAGTAATAATAGATAGATTTTTAGAGTTAAATATCTTAATGAGTCACTGCCAACAATGTCAGAACTAAAAACAAGAAGACCAGATTTATACAAAATAGATAAATGCATAATTTGCTACACAGAACCTGAAATGATAAATCATCTAAAAAGCTATAGGAAATTCCAAAAAGTCTGGAGCATAATAGAAAAAGAAGTCACTGAAGATGCAATCAAACTACTTAAAAAAGAAGACAACATAGGCCCAGATCTAGAAGAAAATGAAGTCAAAAGAAGTATCTTTGGTGCAGAAGGTCCAAAAAGAATAGAGTTAAGAAACTATATAAATAAGAGGCCTAATTTAAGACAAAAGGAAAACAAGCATCGAGAGCTTAGCACAAAGAAAGATCATAGCAAAAAAAGTGATAAACAAAGTATTTAATAGGTTCAGAGAGAGATTCTGTCAATACATATGGAACTTTAGATGTGAATTACAAATCGAATAGAAAAAGAAAAAAAGAATCTCAAAAAAAGACAAAAGAACTAAAAAGAAAAGAGAAGCTAGAAAAACTTACGCAGACAAAGAAAATATCTTGAATCCAAAAGGAAAAAAGAAAGAAAACATAAAAGAGTGGTATTCAGAAATATAAAGAATCTGGTCCAGTATAGATCCAAACCAACTTGGTCATCTCTAACAAGATATAAAATAAGTATGAACTCATTAAAATAAGGCAGTACTAACAAGGCACATAGCCACCAGCCAACGACTGAGGAGAAAAAAGTCTCTAGCAAGTTAGGGACCCCAAAGGAGGCCAATAGCTATTGAAACAGGTCATATTGGGCTTAGACTTGGTAAGCCTTTTGTTTAGTTAGATTAATATAGCTATAAATAGAAATTCATATAATTTTTTAAATAGTTTTAATCTCAAATAAACAAAGACAGATTGCTGAATTATAAAAAAAAATAAAAAATAAAGTATAAACCTTATTTTGAGAACTTGTCACTAAAAGACAAATCCATATTTCTTGCAATAAAGACATCTTTAGTATATACACAATGGCTAGTCATATTAATAAATACAAAAAGTGTTTTTGTATCTAAAAATTAAGTTTTAAATATTAGAATTATACAGTTTACTACCTGATCTATAAGATTATTTGAGTTTCATCACTTATTATTATCTTTGTTTAAATAAGTTATAATATATACTTCTAATAAGAAATTAGAAAAAGCTATTTATAAAATAAACTTCAATTAATTTAGAAAAAAGTAAATTAAAATAAAGTCTAAAATTTATATATATATCTTATCTTTCTTATACAATACTAAATATTTACCAATATTAGTAAAAAATTTATTTATATGAACTAATTACTCTTGGTCTTTTCTACAAAATTGGTTATTCTTCTTTTGGCATCTATAACTAGTATCTTCTATTCTATATAAAAAAAATATATTTATCATATATATATTTTTTTTTCATATATCGGCAGCCTCACCGGTATTTTTTATTAAATCAAAGCATGCACAAGGTACATTTAAGCTATTTAAATTGAAGATCCAACATCACTCAACTGCCTCTAAGGGTGCCCAAGTATGGTCTGCTTCACCGGTTAAGGCTTTTGCTCGTACCAAAGAGCTATACCAAGCTAGCCTAGGAAACCATCACATGACAGTTTCATAACGAAAGAATTTTTAACTACATTACATTGGCAATTTTCTCTTACTAAACTATCCTCTTTTTTAAAACCTAACTTTAAATCCAATTTTTTAATAATAAAATGCATAACTTCTTCTTTTATTATAGGGGTATTGCTAGGATTCTTTCACTTGTACTTGTGTTTTCTTTTCCTTTTCTTCTAATTCAATCTATCCTTTTCAATTAGAGACCTGGCTCTTGAGAGTCTTCTCATATCCTTTTCTACAGTCTTTTCTTCTCGTTCTATAGCTTCACATCTTCTTTCTTCTTCTCGAGGGCTAAATCTATCAGCTTCTTTCGAAAATATTCTTCTATATATTTTTCCCCCAGAGTCTTTTTTTGGTTTTGTTGTTTCTAGATCTTGGTCAACCTGCTTGGATTCTCTTTCTTCCGTGTTCTGAATATAGTCTTCTTCTCTTCTTTTCTTGGTCTTTCTATTCTTCTTTTTCTTCTTAAATCTTGGTTTTCTTCCCAGATATCTTTCTTGTATTTCACTAAAAATTTTCTGATTTTTGAGAAAATCTACAAAGATCTTTTCTAATATCTCTAATAATAAATCCTTTTTTTTCTTCTTCCAATTTTTAATACCCTTCGGCCTGGGTGTTACTGTTCTTTGAGATAAGTTCATATTCAAGTTCTATTAGAACTTCCATCTATATATCCACTTAGCTAAAAGATCTTTTTTTGTCTCTTCCCACCTTCTCTTGTTATACTGTGACTCATCTTTAATGCTAATTTGATATATTACTTCTGTCAGCTATTCATCTGGAGTTGCTAATACAATACTCGGTCTTGATTCTTCTTAAATCTTGTTTAATGTTTTAGCTTCTGTGAGCCCAGGAATGTACTGCCCATTGTCTTTGTTCTGCTTTTCTTTTCTAATCTTTCTTCTTTTCCTTTTCTGACATGCTAAGGCAAATTTGACAGATACTTTAAAGTACATTAATAAAGTCTTTAAGTCTAAATGATTATTCTGCTTTTGTTAGATTTTCTTTTGTTCTTGGAGTCTCTTGCTCCAACCTATATTCAACTTTGATTTTATTTCAGCAACTTGTTTTTTTTCTTGTTGAACTTGCAACTTTTGCTTCTTTTCTTGTATTTTGGCTCTTTTTAGGACTTGTATTCTTCTTTTTTCTTCTTTGACTCTTTGTTTTTCTTTGTGTTGCTTTTTTGTATCAGAGTGGATAGATTGCTTGAAGTGTTGTACTAACAAGTTTAATGCTAGTTTATTGTACTGTGTTTGTCGAATTCTTCTTTGCTCTTCGAGTCTCTTGCTTTAGCCAGAATTAATCTTTGACCTTATTATAGTAGCTTGTTTACTTTCTGACTCTTTTATTTTAGCAGTCTGTTTCTTCTCAATCTCTTCTGTATTTCTTATCGCATTAGCTATTTTTAAATCTATTAAAATGTTTTTTATTTCTCTACGTATAATATATTCTACTGGGTCTTCTTCTTTTTGCATTGCTTCTAAAAAACTACAGTGGTCTCTTGTTTTAAGCTCAAGTTCTGTATATTGACTAATACCTTCCTTGTATAGTCGTCATTCTTTGTGTAGAGTGCTTATTTGTATTCTTGCTTCTTCTGCTATAATAAGTTCTGTTTTAGCAAATTCTGCTTTATATTGTTTGATTGCAAGATTTATGTTGAATTCTTCATCTATTCTATTATGTACTCTTAATGTTGCTTTAATTTCTTCTGGCATCTATTTATGTTTTTCAGAATTTTCTATTGCTAATGCTTCCACGTAACTTGTTGTTTTTTCATTGTTGTTAAGTGTTGTTGTTGTTTGTTGAATTCATTTGTTGTCTTTGTTTATATTTGTCACGTGGGTCTTTTTGTGTTTTATTTGTTTACTCTTCATTACATGTTATGTTTTTTGTATT